GCGAGGAGGTTCAGCAAGCACTGGGGAATTACACGCCGTCGGAAGCATCTTGCGAACCACAAGCGAAGACCTACTCCGCTGCTGCTCGTCGACCCCGACCCGTCCCAACCCGTTATCAAGAGGCCCCGCCGTACCGCCGCCCAATGTCACCCGCCCGACCCCCTGTAACCCGAAACCAGGCGCCCAGGAAGACCGAGGTGTGGCGAACGCCAGATAATCGTCCGATGTGCTACCACTGCGAAGAGGCCGACCACGTCTACCACCACTGCCCGTACAAGAGGCTGGGTTTGCGTGGGTTCTCCGTCGACGCACCCCGCCCGCGAGCCGGCCAGCGCCCATTTGAGATCGAAGAATACCTGTCGAACACCAGCCGTGGACCATCCCGTTTCAACCGTTCGCCGTCGCCCTACCCGTACCAATCCCCCAACCGTCGCAGCCATGCTGACTTCGCCCGTGGAAGGTCCCCCAGCCCACGAGGGGGAAACTAAAAGCAGCAACTTCTGGAGGTGAAGTTGCACAACGGCGAGAAAATGAAAACCCTCCAACGACACAAGACCGTGACTCACGACATGCCCTCATTTCGACGACTCGACGACACCCTGACGAGACCCCCGAAAACAACGACAGCTACGCTGCGCGACGCGTACCCGAAATGACGAAGCCTGCCGCTGAGAAGAGGACGGTGACGACGCATAGTGCCCGACCATCAACACGTGCAAGCCGCGATACGACGCCCCGACGCACCCGAAATTCGAGGAAAGCGGCGTCCGACGTCCAGTTGTCCATCGACGGCCTTGACGTAGTCGCCCTCATCGACACGGGAGCCGACTACTCGGTCATGAGCGGGTCATTCGCGTCCAAGCTAAAGAAAGTTACGACCCGATGGGACGGTCCGCACATACGCACAGGAGGAGGCCACCTCGTGACCCCAAGTGGAATGTGCACATCGCGCGTCACCATAGACGGTACTACGTACCCTTCGGAGTTCGTCATTTTGCCTAACTGCTCCCGCGACGTAATTCTCGGAATGGACTTTTTGACGGACAATGGCGCAATAATTGATCTGCAGACCAAGTCGATAACGTTTTCTTCCGATCACTCCACGACGCCGCAGCCGCACCTCGGACACCGTGCTGCTGTAAGGATCGCCGACGATCACGTCACCCTGCCACCCCGCGCAAGCTTAATGATCGCCGTCTATTGTGAAGGTGCTGCTCCTGACGTCGACGCTATCGTAGAGACTGACCAAAGGTTGCTTCTAGACCGCGGTGTGTCTGTCGCAAGAGGCATTGCGCGGTTTAAGCAACGCAGATCCCACGTTTTGGTAACCAATTTTACCGAGGAGTACCAGCATCTAAACAAGGGCACTGCAATTGCGTTCCTCGAAGAAACGCAAGAAGCGAGTCAAGTTAGGGAGGCTACATGAACGGCCGTTTTTAGGGTGATGTCAGCCTTTGACCCACTACATGCCGCCAACGCACCGCCGCCCGCCAAAACACAATGTTGCCAGACAGCAACGCCGCGCTGTCGCCCCATCTTGGTGCCCGCACTGCGTCTACGCCCGGTTGCGTTTAGCTCTCAATAATACGGCGTCGAACGTTGCGGTAGCGTGTTAAACGCTGCCGGTGAAGCCTTAGAATGCCTGGATGCTGCGTACCGCTCTGCACTAACCACAACAGAAAGGGGGTGCGAATGTTCCGCTTCCCAGCGAGCCCTGGCCGACAACAACTATGGCTGGCTCAAGTGAAGCGAGACGGCTGGGAGCCCACCAGTGCGTCTCGTATTTGCTCTGTGAGTACTGCGTATTTCGTTCACTATTTTTTCCTGCGGCAAATGTTTATGTGTTTCGCGGTGTTCGCGAATGAGTAGATAATCGAAGTTGTCGTTGCTGCGCCCACGCATTGCGAGTAGGAAGCCCACAAACGGGACGCGTCCGCGCGTTCGTACGGAGACGCGCTCGCTAGTCTGAGCTGTTGCCACGCTTGCGTTCGTGTCAGCGTAACCTCAGTATTATGTCGCAAGTGTTTGTGTGTGGGCTGCGAATTTATTCGTGCGCTCACTTTGAGAACTGGGTCGCTTACACGACCCTGAGAACCACCGCTGTCAAAAGCCCAGATGTTGTGTGTTGGCTGGCTCCAAAATGGCGGCGCACAGAAAACTATGCTGAATTTGGTGGAAGCTGGCAACAGCGTGCCCCGTTGCCCGCTGGTTTTGGCTGAGTTTCTTGAAGGCACTTATTAAGATGTCTCCACCCTAAAAACGGCCGTTCATGTAGGCTCCCTAAGTCAAGTGATCGCGGTCGCCACCTTTGAACGCGCACGCGCAGATGCTTCCAGGCTGCCACATCCTTTCGACGTGAACCCGGCGCTGTCGCGAGAAAATCGGGACAGATTACTGGAGTTGCTCCGTCGCTACAGCGAGTGTTTTTCCTCGAACTCGAAGTTACGTCAGACACCTTTGGCGAAGCACCGGATAATAACCGAAGATGGAGCCCGACCTACCAGACAGTCACCGTACCGCGTTTCTTCACACGAGCGCGAAGCTATCCGGACTCAAGTTGATGACATGCTCAGCGACGACATAATACAGCCATCAAAAAGTCCGTGGGCTGCGCCGGTTGTACTCGTGAAGAAAAAAGATGGCACTTTAAGATTCTGCGTTGACTACCGGAGACTAAACAAAATCACCAAAAAGGAAGTGTACCCCCTGCCACGAATCGACGACGCCCTCGACCACCTCTGCCACGCCAAGTACTTCTCATCCATGGATCTGAAGACCGGCTACTGGCAAATTGAAGTGGACGAGAGAGACCGAGAAAAGACTGATTTTATAACCCCAGACGGTCTGTACGAGTTCAAGGTGATGCCGTTTGGGCTGTGCACGGCGCCCGCAACGTTTCGGAGAGTCATGGACACTGTGCTAGCAGGCCTGAAGTGGCACACTTGCCTCGTATACCTCGACGACGTTGTCGTATTTGCCCGGACTTTCGACGAACACCTCACAAGGTTGGAATCTGTACTCGAGGCCATTCGTACGTCGGGGTTAACGCTGAAGCCTGAGAAGTGCCGTTTCGCGTACGAGGAACTCAAGTTCATGAGTCACGGCGTGAACACCGCGGGAGTCCTACCTGACCCGGCAAAAACATCAGCCATTGCGAACTTCTCAAGGCCGAAAGATAAGAAGGGTGTGCGAAGGTTTCTCGGACTGTGCGCATACTACCGGCGCTTCGTCGCAAACTTCGCACGCATTGCAGAGCCACTCACGCGCCTGACGAAAGAAAGCACCCCTTTCAGCTGGGAAAACGACCAAGAAAAGGCATTCTGCGAGCTGCAACAACGCCTGCAAAACCCGCCCGTGCTCACTCATTTCGATGAAAACGCCGAAACGGAAATGCACACGGACGCCAGTGATATCGGTTTGGGTGCCGTCCTCGTCCAAAAGCAAAGCGGTTACGAAAAGGTAATCGCCTATGCAAGCCGTGGTCTGTCGAAGGAGGAGAGAAACTACTCTGCCTCCGAGAAAGAGTGCCTGGCTATCATATGGGCCATTTCAAAATTTCGCCCATACGTCTATGGTAGACCGTTTAAGGTTGGGACAGACCATCATGCGCTGTGTTGGCTCGCCAATTTGAAGGACTCCTCTGGCCGTCTTGGGCGGTGGAGCTTGCGCCTGCAAGAGTTTGACGTTACAATATTCTACAAATCCGGCAGGAAACACTCCGACGCCGACTGCCTGTCCCGCGCCCCCATCGACCCACCACCAAAGGACTCCGATGAAGACAGCGCGTTCTTCGGAGTCGTGACAGAGAGCGACCTAGCCGCCCAGCAGCGTGCCGACCCTGACCTCCGCGCCATGATCGACTACCTCGAAGGACGCAACGTCGCCGTGCCTAGGGCGTTCAGGCGCAACTTACCAGCATTCAGCCTCAAAAACTCCATCCTAGTGAAGAAGAATTTCAACCCCAGAACGAGAACGAATTATCTACTTGTCATCCCCGGAGACCTTCGTGACGAAATTTTGGAAGCGTGCCACGACGACCCGTCTTCCGGACATCTCGGAACAGCTCGCACGATTACAAAAATCAAGGCGAAATACTTCTGGCCCCGCCTTACATCCGATGTCACCCACTACGTCCGGAGCTGCCGTGACTGCCAGCGACGAAAAACACCACCGACGAGACCAGCCGGACTTCTGCAGCCGATCGCCGTCCCAACGAGGCCCTTCCAACAGATAGGAATGGACCTTCTACTGTATTTCTACTGCCATTTTTCTACTGCCGATTCTACTGCCATTTTTATTGTATGTGTCGTTGTTTTCATAGTTATGCACAATTACTGAACATTGTTTTGTTACCATTTTTACTGGCATGTTTTACTGCATGTTTGCGTTGTTTTTGTTACTATCAATAATTACTTTATCGCTTTTTTGTTGCCATTTTGTTGTACTTATCAACATGTCATTTTCTAACAGGAGGTCCCCTTTCAGTCTTGTGCTATGGGACCTCCTTCTGTATATTCTACCTCAATGCGTGTATATTTTTTGCGACAAATAAAAAATATCTTCTTCTTCTTCTTCGCGGGCTACTCGCGCACGCTACCAATGCAGACGCTCCTCAGATCTTCAGTACCAAGCGACTCCAGTGCCGCCGCTACTGTCACCCGCCGGAGAATCAGCTGAGATACGGCGCGACCACATCGTTCATTCCGCTACCCCCTTATAGTACACTAACTCTGCTACCTAAAGGTAGATATACAGTAAATCTAGGTTAGTATGCGCTCCTTGCGTCGGCATGGCGAGACAGGAAAGGAGTGCAGGAGAGAGGGGACGAGCATGCGCAATGGGGAACGAGTACAAGTCGGTGGCAGGAGAGATGTGGAGAGAGTAACGCGCAGCTGTTGGAGAGAGGGAAGGAAGAGAGTCACGCATGCGTAGCGCGGGTGCGGACGCCGGACACGTGACATACCCACGAGCAAGAGATGCTCCGCATCTAAAACACACGACGCATCTAAAAAGATTTTATTTTGCTTGCAACGAAGCTACCAGTACGGCCGCGCTCGCTTTCAACAAGTCTTCCGACATAAGCATATATAAAGAAACGTCCAGGACATGTCACTTCTCTTCGGTTATGTACTCCGGAACAAGCTCCCACACTATCCAAAGCTTGTCGTCAGTGACGTATCCTTCACGCTCCAGATCATCCAATCTAAACGAGCCGTCTCGAAAATACGACCCTTCGTTACTTGATTCTTCGGGTCTTCCATCGTAGTCCAGATTACCCCCAGTTTTTGCGATGAAGGAGCAGTGCTTGTCTTCCGACGGATGTTTGGCGGTCATCTTGACGCTATGATTGAACGGCCACTGAAGGAATTCGTCGATCACTCCCTTGTGCAGCTGAAGACCGGCATACAGTAAGACGTGATCACCTTCCTTTCTGAAGTACACTCCTGGCGACATGTGATAGCCACAGATGTATATCTTTTCACTCGCGCAATCCCTAAAGCCTTTTGAGTGGGTGCTGTCGGTCATCGACTTTATATCCCTTACATAAAACTCATACCGATTAACGTCGATAGTGTTCAGGGCCAGTTCTTTTTGTCTACTCATTGTACTCGACTCGAAATCCTCCGCGGTGCGCTTCGCGTCACAAATGCCAGCGATACTTTCCTCAAAATTTCTACAAATGGTCCGCGTTGCATCCTGCAACTCTTTTCGAAAGGTCTGTTTTAGCTCGTATTCGACTTCTCGCAGTGTTTTATTCGAATTGCTCACAGTCAGTGCAAGCTGGTGCATCTTTTCACCGTGGCCAACCAAACTTTCCTGGATGACTTCGGAAGACGATAAGCCCACCACAGCCTGGAACTCTTCACTCTCAGACGTTTTGCGTTCCCTTGACATTTGCTGCAGCGTTTCTTTCGTCGAGTTCATGCAATGAGAAATCTCGTTGAGGCGGTCACTTTGGGAGGTGTTATCACTGATGACTTGGTCTAGCCTGTCTTTGATTTCATCTCCTCGCACGTCCAGGCTCGCGTTGAGAGCCATCATCATCGCCTTTTGGTCATCGTGGTCAGACTTCTCCGGGGCACCGATCGTCGTAGACACCGCGTGATCCCTGCATTTGCTCCGCAGATGCCCGCACACATCGCGACGTAGCACGACCGTCGAACATTTCGGGCAAGACGTGTAGTGGTGCTCGCAGCCCTCGCGATAATGTTTGTTGATCTCCGCTGCGGCCAGGACCGTTTCACATCCACGCTTTTCATTCCAGCATTTCACCTGAAACGAAACAAAGAGAGTTCTGGAGTGACCTATACACCATTATAGGCGAACGTACGTTTATTCTACCCCCCCCCCCTGCCGCACCCTTCTCCTTTCTGCACGATGCCTTCCAGTTCCATTCAGCATGTGAAGTTTTAGCTAGGCTGACAGAGTGAGGAAAAACATGATGTCTTTAACATCTGCGTATAGTACGTAGCAAGGCTCTTGTCCAGAGAGTCCGTCAACCCGTCGGTGGTATAGCTACAGAAGCCACAATCTACGAACTGCGCGTTCAATGCTGTGCCAAACTAAGCTACGGCTCGGACCTTACCACCAGTGAGGTTTTCACTTAAATGCCCGTTACTGCGCCGTTGCCGTCACCATTTTGCGGCCGTCAAGGGCGTAACCGATGGACATTCAAAAATGAAATGAGAAAAAAATGTATATCCAGGATAAAATGGGAATCGACTCCTGGCCCTCGGTGTGGCAGTGGAGTATTCTACCACAAAACCACGCTAATGCTCGAAACTCACTTGCAAAACCACCTTATGCAGGCCTGATGTCGGGGAAGTAATCGCATTAACCTATAGTAACAGAGCGAGGCAGAAGAGTGAAATAACAGTCACCACACAATGCTAATTTCGCAACGTGTGTACAGTGATTTAATGCTTCCAACCAACTGCAAAGTGTTCAGCCATAATACTTCATTGTCACCAGCTACAAGCAGCATCAACAAACAGCACACAATCCCGCAAAGATATGTAGCTGGTACTTCATTTTTTACAGAAAGAGCAATAGTGGCGTATTGGGTGCTGTGCTACTTCATAAAAAAATATGATTTATGGCACAGTCGATATTTTGCTGAAAGCCATAACCTAAACCACACTTCCCTTTGTCTCAACATGAAGTTGCGCTCATAACTTGCATTAAAGTATTGTAACCGTTGGTAAACTTTAGTCCACTTTAGTTCAGTTTCCTTCATGCAGTAATTGCCACAGTGTAACTAAAGCCGCAGATATTGCCCCCCCCCCTCTCTCTTTTCCGTATTTCTTTATTAATCAGGCTAGGTTAAATGAAATAAATTTATGTTATGTGATAAATGAATGCCACGCACATTTGAAGCATAACTAATCGTAAAACAGTCACGGTAGCTCCACGGCGTCGCATGCAAGACAGATACTCTCAACGTTGCTTTGGATTCCTACAAATTGTTAGCCTAAAAAAAAGAATAAGCAAGACATTTGCAAATTGATATGTGGGTTTTAACGTCCCAAAAACACCGCATGATTATGAGAGACGCCGTAGTGGAAGGCTCCGTTAATTTCGACCAACTGGGGTTCTTTAACTTGCACTCAAATCGGAGCACACAGGTTTAGAGCACTTTCGCCTCCATCAAAAATGCAGCGGCCGCATCCGGGATTTGAGCCCGCGACCTGCGGGTCAGCAGCCGAGTACCTTGGCCACTAGAACACCGCGGCGAAGCGAGACATGTACAGATGACGCATCTTAGCCGCGTACTTGCTTCCTCTGAGGCACTTTTTCTGCCTTCTTTTATAACAAGGCCGTGGCAATAACCTCTAAAGTGTGCCCGTCGTCCCGAAGACCACTCAGAGCATTTATGCATAGCTCCAGCCACTTCATCACATTGAGATCATCCCTTGTCAAGAGCTCCAATTGTTTCAAGTACCACATGTTATTTAGTGCGAAGCATTTTTTTTTTTGCATACTGCAAACACTTTTGTCGTCTATCTATCTATCTATCTATCTATCTATCTATCTATCTATCCCATTACGCCTGGTTGCTTTTGTAATCACCCTCGTAACTTGGCTTGAACAAAAATAAGTATGAGAAGGCAAGATGGTTTGATGAATATTACGCGTTGGTCAAGACATGAATAATGTCACAATCTCGTCGCGTACGTCATCAAATGCGTCCCGCCAGACAGTCACACATACTTGCGGGTGGGTAGGTGACCCTGGTATGCGGGTATGTGCCACAGGCGAGACACTTATAGTATCAAATCAGGAACAACGAAACAGTAATGGGCTATTTTAACGAGTGAGCATTAAGAAAAACCTGGCATCGGCAGCATTGACCCGACGAATGCAAGGACTAAATGACAGGGTCCCAACAGGAATCAAACCCAAGCCTTCTGCGTGACAATCAAGCATTCTACCACAAAGCCACGCCACGGAACTACTTTGCAAATAGGCCCTAATGTTTGTGAAACGTTAACAGTGGTTGTAGTACTGGCTATCAAATTTTATAAACATTACACACGTACTCCTATAACACACCCGTCACATTGGGTTAGCGTCAATCGTATTTAGGTGCCATACGCTGAAATCGGTTTGTGTAGGAGTGGGCTACCATCCTCACGAGCACCAGCGCTTCTTGTCAGCTTAGCGCTCCCGGTGTCCCTGCTGGCACCGTTGCGAAAGCGCTAACAACAGGTTATTTAAACATCTGCAACTCTTCAACATATGTCTGTGTGACCAATATTTATACACATATTTAGCCTCATTTCATGACGTGTCGCTGAATGAAAAAATGCAACACGGTCAGCTTCTCTCCGCATCCTTCGTATAACGTCGATTCCCGAGGTTCGTGAGGTCTGCCGTATTTTTTTCTCTTAATATCTCGTGGCGATATGACGAACTACGCAGAGTTTTTTTTTTTTAACTAAGTGTTCTGGCTGAAAGAAGAAAAGTCTCGTCACTTTCAAGCTTCGTCGATCTGTGTGAATCATGTACAGGTGAAAACAAAAACGTGGCTGATACCCGTATATAGGAATCGATATAACACGAAACTGAAACGTGTTTTACAGAGGTAGTTGAGCGTTTATTGTTCATTGTTTCAGCAACAGCAACAAATTGCAAAGCCACGTTAGGAACGGCAAGCAGCTCGAAATTCGCAACGCACACTTCAAGCAGAAAGCACGAACGAGCGCAGACAAACAGCTGTCACAGCTCAACACTTCAAGCGCGTTGTTCAAACAGAAAGAAAGATGCACGAAACGAACGCACAACACAAGTATACACAGGACAAGCGCAAACAACAGTCACAATTATTTCTGCGTCGTTTGTCTGCAGCACGCTCCTTTCGTAAACGCGGTCATGGCGGCTTGCGAAGTGACCTTCGTTTCCCGAGGTGTTTGGGACGACGACGAAGTGATTCTGGCGTAGAACACTGCTGTCACTATCTGTAATTTTTCAAAGTTTTTCTGCGACTCTGTGGAAGACACCGTTCCAGTGACTGCGGCGATGGACGTGGATTCGCCTGGGCTTCCACCGCAACCATCGATGTCGTCCGCAGCTACCACGAGAAAGCGTACGGGCCACCCGAGTGATGCCGACAGCGAAGACACGCTGATTTGCTCTACGGCAAGCGACGAAAGCTCCGATGAAGGCGACTTCGTGCCTGTGACAAGGTGACAGCGAAAAAGGAGACTAGTGGTGCCATCTCCAACAACAAGTAAGAATGTGACGACGACGCGAGAGCCCACGATATACACAATTATGTTTGTGCCGGTCGATGCGGCTCATAGTCTCAACCGGCTCAATCGTCAAGTCACGTCTAGGTTTCTTCAGGAACTCGCCCTGTGAGAGATCGCGGACGTGCGGATCAATGGCCGTAAGAATATCCTCGCCGTAGACGTCACTCAATGAAGCACATTGGAAGTGCTGAGCAACGTCAAGATGTTGGATAACATTAATTTTCGCTCATATATAGCTGATGGCCGCGACTCTATGGCAGGCGTCATTTACGACGTCGACATTTTCATCAGCGAAAGTGACTTTGCTGCTCTCATCAAACCGGTGTCTGCAGAACTTACTATACTGCAAGCTCGTTGCCTTGGCAAATCACGCTGCGCGAAGCTCGTGTTCAAGGGTGACAGCCTTCCATCGCAAGTCAAGGTCGGCCATTTTCGACACACAGTGCGACCCTTTGTACCGAAGCCCCTTCAATGCCGGAAATTTTATAGTATTGGACATGTCAGTGCTATTTGTACAAACCTGGCTGTGTGCTCGCTATGCTCAGAATCACATAGCGCAGACGCTTGCCAGCCAGAACTTCGAAAATGTCGAAACTGTCATGGCCCTCACGAAGCATCGTCAAAAGATTGCCCAATCATGAAAAAGGAAATGCAAATGTTGAGGCAAATGGTCCGGGATGGCTCAACTCACAGGGAGGCCGCTGCCCAAGTACGACGCCGACGGTCTCGTCGCCGGAGGCCCCTGAGGAGACCCAGTGCTGAAGCAAGGATTGAACCTCACCAAACGACCGCCGGCATACCACCTCAAGCGTCCAGACACGCCGACAACAAATCCTCCAAGCAAGACAAGAGCATCACCGGCTCGCCTGAAGCATGGCCAGCGCTGCCAACGATAGACCCACCGTTTGAGCCACCGCATCGCTCGTCTACATTCACTTCGGAACGAGAATGCGGTGATAGTCGCGACAAAGAAATCGTAGCCATGGTAAAGGCCCTTATGAATACCATTCGTATGCTCCTCACTAGCATTGACAGTCCGGCTGCAAAGAGTGCACTTCAGTTAGTGGATGCGCTGAAGCCGGTGCTATCAAGTCTGGAAAGGCACCATGGCTCCGCCTCTGCAAGCCTTTTGTAAAGAGGTCAAAGGAGCTTCGATGTTTCAGTGGAATGCCCGAGGCCTCAAGCCCCGCATTTCTGATATCCGACAATTTGTGTTTAAGAACCAGTTTCCAATTATTGGTATCTGTGAGCCAAGGTTACACAATGCAATACGACTATCCAGGCACGAAGCCTTCAAGTCCTCTACCTGCAACGAACAGAGTAAAGTCATTGTATATATCAGATGCGACCTTACCTATATCGAGCACCGTGTAGCACCTCACGATGACAACCAGTATGTCTGCTTGACAGTTAAATGTAGAGACCTCAATTTCACGCTTTCTAGGCGCATATATATCACCTTCAAACCGTTTTGAACCTGAAAGACTACGTGCACTGTTAACAGCCACACCTGGACCATGG